CGCCAATCTCACCGATGGAATTGACGGCCTTGCCACCGGAACATCAGCCATCATTGGTATTACGCTGGGCATTTTCGCCTACGTATCGGGCTCCATCATTTTTGCAGATTACCTCAACATCATGTACATCCCCCATACGGGAGAATTAGTGGTGTTTATAGCCGCCTTTGTTGGCGCCTGCATTGGCTTCTTGTGGTACAATACCCATCCCGCACAGGTTTTTATGGGCGACACCGGCAGCCTTTCCATTGGCGGTATTATTGCCGTGTTTGCTATTGCCATTCGCAAGGAGCTGCTCATCCCCATCATTTGCGGAATATTTCTGGTAGAGAATTTAAGCGTAGTACTGCAGGTAAGCTATTTTAAGTACACTCGAAAAAAATACGGAGAGGGCCGCAGAATATTTCTAATGTCGCCCTTGCACCACCATTACCAAAAGAAAGGATATCACGAAAGCAAAATAGTAACCCGCTTTTGGATTGTGGGAATTTTTCTCGCAGTTCTGGCCTTTGTAACCCTAAAGCTACGCTAATTGAGTAAAGGTGCGCACATATCAATAATTGGTGCTGGTGAAAGTGGAACCGGAGCGGCTTTGCTTGCGCAGAAGCTGGGCCACGATGTGTTTTTGAGTGACGCCAAAGCCATTCCCGAAAAGTACCGCCAGCCACTGATAGCGGCCGGTATTGATTTTGAGGAAGGCCAACACAGCAGCGAACGCATCCTCCGGTCTCACCTAATCATAAAGTCGCCCGGAATTCCCGAAAAGGCGGCCATCATCAAAGCCATACGCGCGGCCGGAATTGAAATGATCTCGGAAGTAGAGTTTGCCTGGCGCCATTCCCAGGGAAAGGTAGTTGCCATTACCGGAACCAACGGGAAAACCACTACCACAAGCCTAGTATACCACATAATGAAAAAGGCCGGCCTCAACTGCCAATTGGTGGGCAACGTGGGCAAGAGTTTTGCGGCTGCCGTAGCCGAAGGCCCTGCGGAATACTACGCCCTGGAAGTGAGCAGCTTTCAGCTGGACGACATCAAAGGCTTTGCACCAGACATTTCGGTTTTACTCAACATCACGCCCGATCACCTGGAGCGCTATGAGAGCTTTTCGGATTACCGGCAGGCCAAATTCAAAATTTTCGAAAACCAAACGGAGAACCAACATTTCATCTACAACCTGGACGATGAAGCGATAACCGCGCATTTACCCGATAGCATCAAGGCTCAAAAGCATCCGATTTCACATGAAAAAGTGGTAGGAGCAGGTGCCTATAAACTAGAAAACAATCCTATAACAATAATCACAAACCAAGAGAGTATGAATATTGATGATCTCGCCCTACAGGGCAAGCACAACGCCTACAACAGCATGGCTGCCGGCTTATCGGCCCGTTTGTTAGGCATCAGAAAAGAAACCATTCGCGAATCACTGGCCGGTTTTGAAAGCGTAGAACACCGCCTTGAGTCTGTCCTTCAGATTTACGGCATGAATTTTATAAACGACAGCAAGGCCACCAATGTAAACAGCACCTGGTATGCCCTGGAAAGCATGCAGAGCCCTACCATCTGGATTGCCGGTGGCGTTGATAAGGGCAATGACTACAGCCAACTCTACAGCCTGGTTGAGAAAAAGGTGAAGGCGCTCATCTGTTTAGGAGCCGACAATTCTAAGCTACACAAGGCCTTTGACGATAAAGTTTCTTTGGTTATTGATGCCGCCAACATGGATGAGGCCGTTCGCATGGCGTACAAAATGGGCGAAAAGGGCGATACCGTATTGCTGAGCCCCGCCTGCGCAAGCTTCGACTTTTTCGAAAACTTTGAGGATCGTGGCCGCCAGTTCAAGCAAGCGGTGAGAAATTTGTAAGGGTAGGCTTTGGCAGCATTTCTTAAAAATATAAGAGGCGATAGAGCGCTTTGGGTCATGGTTATTTTAATGGCCATTGCCAGCTTATTTCCCGTGTACAGTGCCAGCAGCAACCTGGCCTTTTCTGCGGGTGACGGCAACACGCTTGACGATTTGTTTACGCACCTCATGTACCTCATACTTGGTTTGGGTTTGATGTACCTCACCCACCGCGTTGACTATCGCCACTATGGGGCACTGTCTAAAATACTGCTGCCCATAGTTATTATTTTGCTGCTGTACACCCTGTTTCAGGGCGTAAATATTTCCAATGCCTCGCGCTGGATTCGCATTCCCTTTACCAATAAAACTTTTCAAACCTCGGCTTTGGCCTGGGTGGTGCTGCCCATTTACCTGGCTCGGTATTTAACGCTGGCCGCTCCGGAAGACCTGGTTAGCTTTCGCGCTTCCTTCCTGCCCTTAATTGTTCCCATTCTCATTGTTTGCGGCCTGGTACTGCCGGCCAACTTGAGTACCGCAGCCCTTATTTTTATTGCGTCCATAATACTCCTGTACATTGGCGGTTATGCCCTCAAGAATATTGGCATTCTGTTGGGCAGCGGCTTCGTTATGCTAAGCATTTTCATTGCCATCGTACTCACCTACCCCAATATCAGCAACCGGGTGGGCACCTGGAAAACGCGCATCGAAAGCTTTGTGGAAGGAAACGAAGAAGAAAACTATCAGGTTACCATGGCAAAAATGGCCATTGCCGAAGGACAGTATCTGGGAAAAGGGCCCGGCAAGAGCGTGCAGAAAAATTTCTTACCACAAAGCAATAGCGACTTCATTTACGCGGTTATTGTGGAAGAATTTGGCTGGATTGGAGGCATAGTGGTTCCCTTTATTTATGTCTTGGTATTGTTCAGAATACTCATAATTGCCGACCGAGCCCCCACCAAGTTCGGGGCCCTGGTAGCAGTTGGCGTAGGCCTGGGCATTATGCTGCAGGCCTTTACCANNTGGCCGTGGCGGTAAACCTCATGCCGGTTACGGGGCAAACCCTTCCGCTGATAAGCGCAGGGGGAACTTCCATTTGGATGACCTGTATTGCCCTGGGTATAATTTTAAGCGTGAGCTGTGGCCGTAGGGAGACTGAAACACAAGACCTGGCCGAGAAGCCCGAAGCTGCGCCCCAAAACGAAAAATCCGTTGCCCATGCCGTATAAGTTCATGATAAGCGGTGGAGGAACCGGGGGCCACATTTTTCCTGCCCTGGCTATTGCCGATGAGTTAAAAAGGCGCTTTCCCGATTCCGAATTCCTCTTTGTAGGCGCGAGCAATCGCATGGAGATGCAGCGCGTACCTCAGGCGGGCTACAAAATTGAAGGCCTTTGGATTAGCGGGATACAAAGAAAAATCACCCTCAGCAATTTGAGCTTTCCCTTTAAGCTGATTTCCAGTTTGAGGAAATGCCGGGCGCTGATCAAGCGCTTTAAACCCCACGCGGTAATTGGCACAGGCGGCTTTGCCAGCGGTCCGCTCTTATACCAGGCCAGCAAGAAAAACATACCCTGCCTTATTCAGGAGCAAAACTCTTATCCGGGAATAACCAATAAAATATTGGGCAAAAGGGTGCAGAAAATATGCGTAGCCTACCCGGGCATGGAGCGTTTTTTTGATCGAAGCAAACTCGTTTTAACGGGCAACCCCATTCGGGCGAGCATTAAAGCCAAACTTCCCTCGCAAGAGCAAGCGCAAAATCACTTTGGATTTGCTGAGGCCAAACCAAGCTTGCTAATAGTGGGTGGCAGCCTCGGATCGCGAAGAATTAACGAGCTTGTGGCCGAAAGCCTTCCCGCCTTATTGAAGCTCAACATCAATATTATATGGCAGTGCGGAAAAATCTATCACCAAGCATTAAAAGAACAGTTTAAAGACCTGGATAAAGGGCATGTTTTGCTCACCGACTTTCTTGACGATATGAACCAGGCATTTGCCGCCAGCAGTGTAATTATTAGCCGGGCCGGAGCCGGCACCTTATCGGAACTAGCGGTAGCGGGCAAGGCCGCGGTGCTCATTCCCTCGCCCAATGTTGCCGAAGACCATCAAACCAAAAACGCCCAGGCTTTGGCTGCCCGCGATGCGGCCGTTTTGTTTAAAGAAAGCCGCAGCGCAGAAGAATTGATCACCCTCTTGCGAGAATTGTTTAAGGATAGCGAACAGCGCACAAAGCTCGAGGCGAATATCAAAAAGCTGGCCCTGCCCCAGGCATCGGAGCACATTGCCGATGAAATTGAAAAAATGCTGAAACCATGATGGACGCCCAAAACATATACCTCCTGGGAATTGGCGGCATAGGCATGAGCGGCCTGGCGCGGTATTTCAACAACGCTGGCCGCAGCGTAGCCGGCTACGATCGCACCCGCACCGAGCTTTGCGCAGCCCTGGAAAACGAGAAAATCAGCATTCATTACGAAGACAATGAAGCGCTCATTCCCAAAGGCTTTAAAGCCAAAAACACCCTGGTAATTTATACCCCGGCCATTCCGCCCGATCACAAAGAAATGGCCTGGCTGCAAAAAAAGGGGTACACCCTTAAAAAGCGTGCCTGGATTCTCGGACAAATAGCACAAAAGCACACCTGCCTGGCTGTGGCCGGTACACACGGCAAAACCACTACCTCCAGCTTGCTGGCTCACCTGTTTAGAAATGCCGGCCATGAAATCACCGCATTTCTGGGCGGCATCAGCACCAACTACGGCACCAATTTTTGGGGCAACAATGAAAATCAAATTTTGGTGGCTGAGGCCGATGAGTACGACCGAAGCTTTTTAAACCTCAAACCAGCCGGGGCCATTGTAACCTCAACCGATGCCGATCACCTGGACATTTACGGCAATCCGGAAGAGTTGAACAGCACCTTTCAGGATTTTGCGCGCTCCGTAAGCGATACGCTCATTGTTCGTGAAGGCCTGAATTTAGCATCAAGGCTGCGCTATGGCCTTGAGCAAGCCACCGACTACCACGCAGAGAACATCCGGGTAGTAGCGCACAGTTTTGTCTTTGACTTCCACCACCCCGAAGGCATTGTTCCGGCCGTAAAAACCCAGATGCCCGGGCGGCACAATATTGAAAATGCCGTGGCTGCTGCGGCCCTGGCCATGCATTTTGGCCTTTCGGCCGAAGAAGTAAAGACTGGAATTGAAAGCTTTACGGGCGTTAAAAGGCGCTTTGAATATCACGTGAAAACCAACCACACCATTTACATTGATGATTACGCTCATCACCCAAGGGAAATAGAAGCCCTGGGACGGGCGGTTAAAAATCTGTATCCGGAAAAGAAAATAACGGTCATTTTTCAGCCGCATTTGTTTAGCCGCACCCGCGACTTCATGGAGGGCTTTGCCGAATCATTATCGCTGTTTGACGAAGTGATACTCATGGATATTTATCCGGCACGGGAAAGGCCCATTGCCGGTGTGCACGCAAAGGCCTTGTTGGAATTAATTCAGGCCCCGGAAAAGGTGCTTTTAAGCAAAAGCGAAATCCTGGAAAAATATCAAAACGCAAAGCCCGAAGTAATACTCACCGTGGGTGCGGGTGATATCGATCAACTGGTTCAACCACTAAAAGTAGCATTGCTCCAATGATCAAGATAAAACACATCGTTCTTTGGTGCGCATCGACTGCAGCCATAGCCGCAATAACCGGTTTTGGCAGCACCTATGAGCAAAAGGTGTTGTGGCAGGAAAATGCCGTGGTGTTCAAAGACACTGATGGCCAGCTGTTTATTACCGAAAACGAAGTGCTCTCTCTAATTGAAAATCACTACCCGCAATTGGACTCATTACCAATTAGAGAAATTAACACCGCCCTGTTAGAAGAAAGCCTTGATAATCACCCATCTATAGAGAAAGCAGAAGTATATTCGACTTTAAAGGGTTACTTGAGGATTGATGTATGGCAACATCGCCCGTTGGCAAGAGTAAATATGCCGGGCAGGAGTTATTATCTTTTAAACCAAGGTGCTACCATGCCGCTCAGTCCAAACTACTCGGCCCGCGTGCCGCTGCTCACCGGGGCGATTACCGACAGTACACTGCAGCCTCTTTCCCTTTTTTGGAAAAAAATAGAAGCTGATCCTTTTTACAATGACTTTTTCACCGGATTACATGTTAGTGAGAATGGAAATTGGATTTTGTACCCTAAACCGGGGCATCACCAGGTGCACATGGGCAGCGCTGAAAACTGGGAAAATAAACTAGAACGATTGAAAATTTTTTACCAAACCGTTGCCAACAAAAAAAATATTGACAGTATTAAGGCCATTAACCTGAAGTTTAATCACCAGGTAATTTGCCGAAAATAACAAGCCATGGAATCTGAAGAAATAGCAGTAGGTCTCGATATAGGAACCACCAAAATAGTGGCCATGATTGGCCGCAAAAACCAATATGGCAAAATTGAAATTGCCGGTATGGGTAAGGCACGTTCGCTGGGCGTGCACCGTGGCGTGGTAACCAACATTACACAAACTATTGAATCAATAAAGCAAGCCGTTTACGAGGCCGAAAACCAAAGCGGCATTAGCATTAACAGCGTAGTGGTTGGCATAGCGGGCCAGCACATCCGCAGCTTGCAACACAGCGATTACATCAATCGCCAGAACTCTGACGATGTTATTGAAGACAAAGACATTGAGGAGCTCATAGAAAACGTGCACAACTTGGTCATGCTTCCGGGCGAGGAAATTATCCACGTATTGCCGCAAGAATACAAGGTGGATGGCCAAACAGAAATCCGCGAGCCCCGCGGAATGTACGGCAGCCGACTGGAGGCCAGTTTCCACATTGTGGTGGGGCAAATAAGCTCCATCAAGAATATTGGCCGTTGCGTGCGCAGCTCCAACCTTGACGTTTCTGACATTACCCTTGAGCCGCTCGCTTCTGCGGAAGCGGTATTGAGCCAGGAAGAAAAAGAAGCCGGAGTGGTATTGGTTGACATTGGCGGTGGCACCACCGATGTAGCCATATTTAAAGATGGTATTATTCGCCACACGGCCGTAATTCCTTTTGGTGGCAACGTAATTACCGAGGACATTAAAGAAGGATGCACCATTATTGAAAAGCAAGCCGAACTGCTCAAAATTAAGTTTGGTTCTGCCTGGCCCGGAGAAAACAAGGAAAATGAAATTGTGAGCATACCCGGCTTGCGCGGAAGAGAGCCCAAGGAAATATCCATGAAAATGCTCTCAAAAATTATCCACGCCCGGGTGGTGGAAATTATTGAACAGGTGTACCTGGAAATAAAAAACTACGGCCACGATGAGAACAAGAAAAAACTCATTGCCGGCATTGTATTAACCGGAGGTGGCAGCC